ACTATTATAGATTGTAAGCTGTCACACATAGTGGACATAAACATATGCAAGTGTTGTAGAAATTATATCACTCAATAATGTGTAGGGTAAATGGTACATCTATATACCATCACCCATTAATAAAATCATATTATTAACAATGTTGAATGATGTGGTGAAACCAAGTGGCACAAGTCAGAGCTTTGAAACATAGGATGCACCTGATGGAACTTATATCGAGGGCGGAAACAGGTTTTATGTATTTTGTGTCAGTGCTAAAACGTACATTGCTACCATTGTGAGCCGAACCAGGGATTAAGTTTTTCCTAAATAGGGATGGAAACAGCTTATTCACATTCATGTTATCTCAGTTTTTGACTCAAAGCAAAGCTACTCATAAAATTGGCGCATTTTTTATTTTATTGGCCCATGTGCCTTCCCAACTTACCTAACAGTCAGACCAGAGAACAGCTGGTTTATAAACTTATCTTAATATACATCTTAACTGCACTGTCTTTGGCAATACGTGCTAGCTTTTGCCATGCATACAGGAGATTATGTACTAAGTCGATTCTTCTTATGTTCATGATGATGAGCCATCTCAAAAGGTCAGCGCTCTCATACCTTTTTGAGGTATCAATACATTCAAATACGAAACTAAAAAAATCAAATTTCATACGTTGAAATACAGCATTCATTTAGTTCAATAATAGTATTATCTCTCTTAATTGGGTTGAATATTAGCATAATCTGTTGTGAAAAGTGAGCAAACCTGTTTTTAATTTAAAGATTTTTTGGAATGCATTCTATATTTCCACTCAGAATTTAGTTCCGGAGTTCGACAACTTCATAGACCCTCTCTTTAGGCTGAACACAAGATAACTAAACGTTTGCAGATCTTGATTTCTGATACTACTTTACATATCCTTGGTGGTGCTTTGTTGGTTTGATTGGTAGTCATTGCCATAACTAACCCAAACTCATTCGTAGTACGTTTTATAAGATTGTATTGACTATGCTACTTATCAAGTTCATTCATTAGGTTATTTTTCCTGTTTTGGGCATTTAGGTATATGGCTCACCTGACTATTGTAAGTTGTTTTTGTTACACCTGTTTACTACCAAAACTTAGCCAATGTCAGTGTTGTGTGTGACACTTTCCTCACACTAATCAAACTGTTCACAACACCCGGAATGATATACAAATAACACAGTATAACACACCATACTTGTGTACTTGCAGGGGACAAACATGCTAAATTTGATATTGATATTTATAATCGATGTGTTAAGCTTCTTCAATGGTATTGAACGCGTTTTAGAGTATGCCAACATGACTCCGGAAGAACTAGAAGGTAGAAACAACTTATTTTTAGCTAATATTTATAGTTGGACAAACTTCTGTATTTTAATAAATTATTAAATAATAAAATGTTATATAACTTTTCTTTTACCACCCCTCCTGGTCTTTTAACCTCCCCCCCCTCTTGTTTAATACCACTCTTTCCTTTATCACAACTTTGTTACGCGCTAATGTTATATGCAATTTAACGCGCGATGTAGACACATCCTATTATAGTAAAATATCCCAAGGGTTGAAACGCGCCAGGACTGTGGCATGGGTACAACCGTAAAGCTGGTGGGCATTTAATTTATTCATGAGATGCATTAATATACAAGAAATGCTGCGCGCGAAATTTAAAAGTGTAATCTCCGACGCGACGCAACTTCAATGAATCAGTGACTCTTCTGTAAAATGGTTTCTACTTCAAATGTAGTTCGCGTTGCTCTTCGAGATGTTCTGATGAAAATATTCAAAATAGCAGCAGCAATGGAAAAATTGTTTACTGATCATGTGACACAACAATATGAGTCATTCTTTGCGATAGAGGTCAAAGTTCGCAACATCCGGTTTACGGTTGTGCTCCTGCCATGTCGCTCGATCGCAATGAGTTTTAATTTGACAAATATTCAAGTGCAAATGCAATTGTGTCACTTTACAATGCCATCCATGTCATTACAGATGCCATATATGTAAAGAAAACGAACTTTGAAACGTTCGAATGCGTGATTTTATGCTACAGTCCTGGCGCGTTTCAACCCTTGGGATATTTTACTATAATAGGGTGTGTCTACAACGCGCGTTAAACATTTGCATATAAAATTAGCGCATAACAAAGTTGTGATGAAGGAAAGAGTGGTATAAACAAAGATCAGTGATTACTTGAAATCAAGACCAAGAAGGGGGGTAAAAGAAAAGTTATATAACATTTTATTATTTAATAATTTATTAAAATACATAAGTTTGTCCAACTCCCTGTGGTATATCATACGACTGACCACATTCTCTGTTCCATGTATGACAATGTGATCAGGTACTGTTTCTCCGCCTAATAATTGGCCAAGCAGAGGATCCATCAATATACAGAATATTACGGCACGTTATGCTATTGGTTTGGACCCAGTGTTAACAAATGTGAGCGTCAAGATCAGACCTGGAGAAAAGGTACTTAATAGTGGAAATGTACGCATGGGATGTTTGAAAGAAATCTTTACTAGTATATATGCGGCTGAACTATGTGTAAATATAATTGCTTAATAAAACGCAGAGACTTGGATTCTGAATTATAATATTCGACCTAAAGATGTTAATTTTGACTCCCCCATAGTTTAATAAGTAGTTATATGTACCATTTAATACTAAGTTGCAGGTTTCAGTTAATTTGATAAATGTCTAAAGATGCACCCTACGTACATTGTAGTTATAACGTTTCTATCCAGTTAATAGTTTAACGACCACAGATTATTTTACAAAATGTGAACATATTGATGTAAGTTACAGATATAGTTTTCCCTCACATTCTAAAGGTTGGAATATGTGGTCGAACTGGTAGTGGAAAATCGTCCCTGACTCTCACATTATTAAGGATGATAGATATCATTGAAGGTAAACTTTACACATGATATATGTATATACAATTACTGAGTTTTGAAACAAACAGAATGTCTAATTGATAATAATGAATTTGTATTACAATATCTAACAGGCCGTATTATAATTGATGGTATCGATATATCAAAAATTTCTGTATTGACACTTCGTCGTAGAATGTCTATTATTCCACAGGATCCTGTTCTCTTCTGTGGTACTCTACGGTAAGATACAAATAATGCTAAATATTTAACTAATGCTATTTATTTCAATACTATGTTTCAATTAATGCGATAATCACGCGAATTTCAACAATATTTCCGTACAATTCATTAATTAATTTTAATGAGTATGGTAACATTAAAGTTGCTGTGTCTATAAGAACCTAATTTGTTTTGAACTTATGATCACATGATCTCTCACGTAAAATAGAGCACATACTTCATGTATTTTCGCTGTAACATTCAGAAGTGATTTTAGAATTAAAGTCGGCTAACTGTTATTTAGTTCACGTCTACATATTATATTTGCATAACAAACGTGAATATATGTCGCCTTTTGTATATCTCATGCAGTATTCAATCAGATGTGATTACACCAACAGAAGCAATAGCAGCAACAGACTAAATCAACTTTCATAACCTACGCTGAATATACTTTTGTAACAGAGCAGTTGAGAGTGTTGCCACACACTGATGGATCGCCACGCCCATATAACAATTCAGGAGGGTCGTGTTTGAACTTGCAATGTGATCTGAGATAATAAAAAAAAGGCATATAGTCATGTTGTTTAGTGACTATTTAAATATTTATTTTGTTCATAACTCGGTTCAAATATATGGTACCATACTAAACAATAAATATTGCATTTGTTAAATCTGCTAACGAACGAACGTGTTCCATTGAGAAAACAGTTCTTTATACACGTTGCGGCGAGTAATAAATGAATACATTTGGTAAGGCAATGATTTTGTTATATATTATAGGTTTAATTTAGATCCTGAAGAAAAGTACGGGGACCAGGATTTATGGAATGCTCTTGAAATCGCACAATTGAAAGACTGTGTGCTTGAAATGGATGAACAATTAGGTTAGATTTGTTAAAATATTCTTCCAGAAACAATATGAGTTCCCAAGTTATGTATCGTTATTTGTATTCAATATAGCGTCATGTATTTAGTGAAATCATGTATACTGTGTCTCACTAATTTCAGATACAATTGTTACTGACGGAGGGGACAACATAAGCACTGGACAGAGACAATTAATTTGCCTGGCGAGGGCTTTCCTACGAAAAAGCCGAATTCTTATCATGGACGAAGCCACTGCATCTGTTGATTTCGAAACAGTGAGTTGGACTACACGCGAACGTGACTATGGTTGTCCAGCAACTACCATTGTCGACGACCGCTAATAGTACTATTTAATCGTTGGCCATTAGAGTTTATTGCTAGTGCGTCTTTGTAGGTTTACTGATTCGAATGGGGGCCCGAAACATTTGTGTGTAAATAGAATATTTAACAAAATTTATTTTTATCTAGATAAAAGAGAAATTCATTATATATATATATTGTGAAAATATGTTGTTTTCGTGACGATTTGTTTATTCATAACAGGACGCAACACTACAGGCCGTTATTGCCACAGCATTTTCGGATAAAACAGTTCTAACAATAGCGGTAAGAGACAAGTGAATAATATAACATACACAAGTTCAAGTGGGAGTTGTTGGAGTTGTTTATAAAATGCACTGAACCCTTCTAAATGAGTTAATATAAAGACAAAACGTAATTAGATGCACATTAATTTACTTTTTCATACTTGTTGACTGTCATTTTTGTTTCACAAATTCCAAAAAAAAACATTTCAACGTATTATCAACCACGATTCGATTCAAGGTGGCCGAACAAAATGTAAACCCACCATCTACTGCTTCTTGGACATGAAGGCCATATCCACTATATCAAAGATTATATGTAATTGACTGTTGCTTATATTATTATTTCAGCAAGACATAATATCAGAGTGTCAATGAAACTTGTCTTATTGGCAGAAGCTAGAGCATCAAGAATGACTTGTTCATATTTATTTTGCATCCACAATGGCATTAGTTGTTTAGTAATATAATGGTATTTTTTCAGCATCGCATATCTACCATACTTGACTCTGATACTGTACTGGTACTAAGTGAAGGCAGAGTTGTGGAATATGGTACACCACAAAAATTGCTTAGAAAGGATGGTGGTATGTTTGCATCATTAGTGAACAATACAGAGTGAAGACGGACATTTGTGATACTGGAAACATCAAATAAACTACACTACTTGAAGTCATTATCGTTATACCGACGTACACACAGCACATTACTATTGTTGATTCTACCAATAAAACTAAATCGCAAATGTATTTAAAGAAAAAAAAATATTATAATGTATGAAATTTCACGAAAACCATTGGCAAAACACAAAATGTATCAATGCACACCAGTAGAATAATACATGCAACTTCACATGTCATTCATTAACGTCACCAATTGTGAACTCGTGCCTAATTTTGCAGTTGTTTTCTAATCATGTTTTAACTACATGCAATAATAGTTAAGTTGAAGAAAAACTTGATGATTTATTGTTATTTCACCAAATACATAAATTACATGAGTACATACAATTCGAAATGACAGTATCATAGTTTTTGAGATATAGTAAAGTAAAATTTGTTAACCCTGTAAAAAATCGATTACAATTTTGAGAACCGTTAATGCATGAGTATATTAGATTATGAAGCGATTGAAATGGAATGGGCGTAGGATACAGGCGAGTATACAAGTTTGTATTGGTTAGTTTTGAAAGAAGTGTTTTTGTTTTTTAAATAAGATCTTAAAATTAGAATAAACCTTCAAGTGCATAGTGGCAGAATATTTTACGAGTTGAGTATATGTGGAGTATTTGCTCGATATATTGTATATTTATTCTATCTAGAACTTAAACTTAAATAAAAGGGCAGAATGGCAATATGATTTACAACATTTGATAAACGGACAATTATTATACAATAAGTACAATATAATTGCGAAATGAGAGCTACTCTTACTCTAGAAACTTAGGAAAACATTATCTCACAATCTAGGAAAGTAACAAAGGAGACAATTCATTACAAATGTATCCATTCCTATTGTATCCACATGTATAAAAAATAATAAAGTTACTTGTGTGTGATGGTGTTGATGTTGCATGTACTTACCAACAGTTGAAACAGATAAGGTATGTTATTCAGTAATGGAGTTAAATCTTAATATTGTGTTAGAATGGTCTGCAGAATATGTTTATAACTACAATAGCTAGCCATTATTATTGCTTGACGACCAAGACTATTGCAACATTTTCAATGATGGCCTGGCGAAAACAAAAAACACGCTTCAAATCCGTACAACTGTGGTGGGATGTGGGAAAAGTCAATATCAAACATCTGACTAAACAATACACCTCAAAAATCGCTACTAACTATCGCAACGAAAAAGAATGCTTGATGAAGAAATACAAAAACTAGAAAACGACCCCGAAACACGCCCTTCAGAGAACAGAACAGAACACCTTGTACAAACTGAAACGCGCGGAGCTGCCATTCGATCTGGGCACAAAATACTGAACGAGAGCGACGCGCCAAACCCATTTTTCTTTGAATTGGAAAAATACAAGGGTAGTAAAAGGACCATTTCTCACCTTGAGACGCGTGATGGCGGTGTAACTAATGACCAGCCAACGATCCGTTGCATGACAAACGAATTTTACGTGGACCTGTTTGCACCCAACCCAGTCTCAGCCGACAACCAAAATCGTATGCTTGAAGGGTTACCTAAGCTGTACGACATTTGCAACAAGCCAGTGACCTTTGAAGAACTGTCCAAAACTGTGAAACTGTTAGCCAATGGTAAATCCCCTGTTATCGGCGGTTTACCAGGGGAGTTCTACACACATTTCTGGCCTGTCCTGGGACCGGACTTGTTTGAAGTGTTAAATTGTTCTTTCGAATAAGGGCTGCTACCAACATCCTGTAGGCGTGCTCTTATTACACTTTTGCCCAAAAAAGGTAATACTAGCCTGCTTAGCAACTGGAGACCAGTCAGTTTACTCCGTGCGGATTATAAAATCCTCACCAAAGCTCTTTCAATCAGATCCTGTTCAGTGCTCCCAGATATCATTCATGTTGACCAATCCTACTGTGTGCCTGGAAGACAGATTTACGACAACATCAACTTGATTCGGGATGTCATTGATTACTCAAACACAAACAACACCTCATATGCTTTAGTCGCGCTTGACCAACAAAAAGCGTTCGACCGGGTACACCATGAATATTTATTCAAAACACTGCAAGCGTTTGGTTTTGGTTCTACATTTATCAAGTATATTAAACTCATCTATACAAACTCTCAAAGTCTCGTACGTGTTAATTCGTCTCTCACTGGTGCCGTCGAATCCGCCAAGGTTGCAGTCTCAGTGGACAGCTTTACACTATTGTTATCGAGACACTCTTACATAAATTCGTACGTAAAGTGACATCGAAGGAGTAAACATTTACGGTGATCGAGTTAACCTTTCTGCTTATGCAGACGACGTCAACTTTTTTCTTACTAAAAATGAAGATTTCCGCAAACTCGAATACTGGTTGAATATTTGTGAAGGTGCCAGCAATGCACGAATCAACTTTGCAAAGCCAAAGGGGCTGTGGGGGGGGCGAACCGATAGCCCTTTACGCATACAATGGAACAGCACAGGCTTGAACATTCTGGGCACTTTCCTTGGTAACACTCATGAATACCAAAACAATATCTGGGATGACATTGTAGAAACCAAGCTTGAACGGTACACCAAATACTGTCCTGTCCTCATATTACACTGTCCGCGGTACATGAAGGCAACACGATCGTCTCCGATAAACACGTAATTTTGCTTTCAATTATAGCATCTATACCTCGGACAATCACATGTTCATCTGTTATAAAGCCTAGTGAGTCTATATAACCAACTTTTAGTGCCATATCTGCTGAAGATTTCCACGTAAAGCAAGGTTTACTTGCACTGGCTTAGTTGTCACTGTGATCAAGTACGGCTCTTTGTTCTACGGAGGTCATTACCATATTCCATTCAAAGGTTTATTGTTAGAACAATGCCAAAAACGTGCCAAGATTGTGATACTACTCGGGGCGTTAGTCAAGTGGAGGATGACACATTTCTTTGTAAAAAGTGTAATAAGAAGCGTATGTCCCCTGGCAAGGAAACTCCTGTACTCCAAACAACAATTGAAGATCGTTTGGATGACATCAGCCGTCAACTAAGCTGTATAAATGAACTTACACTCAGTATGAGAGAAATTAAGGCCTCAATGGACTTTCTTAATGATATTGTGGAAAATCAAAAAGAATTAATCATCACAGTAGAAAGGAATAAGAAATTGGAAGATTGTAACGCTAATCTTGTTCAGCATATTACTGTTTTAGAAAAGGCCAGTGAAGAACAAAATTAGTATAGTAGAAGAGACAACGTCGCGATACATGGCATACCAAAAGTTACAACTGAAAGTACCGATGAAATATCACTTAAAGTTATACAGAAGATTGTTTCAAATGTGACATCAAGGGATATTGAAATCACCCACAGAATAGGAAAGATCATCCCACCAGAAAGAAATGGCGCAATAAATACAAGACCTATAATTTTTAAATTCGCTGGACGAAGAAAAAGAGATAAAGTGTACCGTGACCGAAAGATAATAAATCAGATAACCACAGACAATCTAGGGCATAATGAAAAGCGTAAAATTTATATAAATGATAATCTGACACCAGCTGGTCGAAATTTACTGAAATTAGTCAATGCTAAATGCAAAGCTACAATTACAGATTTCTGTGGACAAGAAATGGTCAAGTCTATGTTAGAAAGGCAGAAGGTACACCACATATTATAATCAAGAGTGAGTTTGACATTTCAAAAATAGTTTAAATTACTTGTAAATATATCCTATACTGTTTATACATATAACTAACCATGGAAGATGATAATGATCACCAATTATTCAATATTCACTGTTCGTCATATACCATTTCCAAGTTCAATACTGAATTCTCCAATGCACTCGACACATTCTCTATATCTAATATAAATATTCGATCTTTTAGAATTAACTATGACAATTTTAATTTATTTTATGAAAATTATATAAAACATCAATTCAGTATTGTTGCACTTACTTATCTGGCAAATTGAAAGCAAAAATATTTACAGTTTAACAAATTATTCTTTTGAAACAAATTGCAGAGATGATGGTAGAAGAGGTGGAGGGGTAGGCATTTACATTCAAAATAATCTACGGTATTCTGTTTTGAATTTAGTTTGTATCAATAATGCAGAGTCTTTGTTTTTAGAAATCTTTATTGACAAACACAAATACATCGTTGGAGTATTGTATAGACCCCCAGCTACACAGATTGACAGTTTTATCAGTAATCTTGAGATTACACTGAATGTGAGCAAAACACAATACAATGGCTGTATTTTAGTTGGAGATTTCAATATTGAATAACAATTCTAACCTTCATAGTTGACTTGAAAACACGTCTCGACACTTTCCACTTACAGTTAAGCAACGGAATTTGTACTCGGACTCCGAACACCCGTCATTTGCCTTCGCCGACTTTTTTTCTACAACAAATACAGAACCTAAATTATGACAAACAAATATTCGCCACCAAGATTTCCGATTATAGTAACGTTCCTACTTTCTACCGTGAACTGCTATGTATTTAGCCATCCCTCCCGTGGGAGAGAATTGGCGGACCCTCAGACTATCACAGTGTTGCTAATGAACCCATTTTTTACAATCCTTTGCTACTTCACCACCTGCAAGGAGAGCCTTTGAAAATGCGCCATTTTATGAGCAGTGGTATTACTACTATCGGCCACCTACTGGATAATAGAAAATGGCTTGACATTAACACAATTCACAATCGTGTGTCCGTCTACTCAATGTTTTCCTCCTGACATAAACCGTAACTTTGAAAACTGTTACATTTCACTGATTTACAGTGGCGCATCATACACGGCGCATTCCCCACCGGTGTTTTTTTTACTAAGGTCACACATCAATGTCACCAATCAATGCCCTTTTTGTGACGAGGTCGATGACCTTATCCACATCTTCCTCGAATGCGGAAGACTTGTGCCACTCCACAATTCGGTCAATCGGATCATCAGACAACTATTAGATATCGAGAACAACATTCCAATATCATGGTTTATTTTTGGTCCACCAAGACCAAGACGAGTTGACGATACCCACCGTTTGGCTGTCTTTAACATAACCACTGCTAAGGCTGCCATCCACGCATCACGATTCCGCAAACAGACGTCTTAGAATGGTTTCATAATAAGATCAAGAGCCGGCTAGTAGGCGAATATGAATACCATCAAGTCACCAACCACCAAGTTGAAATACTGCATTAATGATGCCATGGTATCTTTAGACGAGAACGATAATTTACAATTTTCAAATGAAATTACTTAATTTTTTTGTTAATTTAGTTTCTTTCTATTCTTGGTTTTCGTTCGTTTGTTTCCGTCTACTTGGCCATCACTGTCCACGCATAATTGTTGTATATAAACCTATTACGTAACCGTCTATGTGTCTATCTGTTTACCTGTTTTTTGGTTGCTATACTTTGTTTCGCTACTTGGTTTTCACTGTCCACTTATAATGTCTTAATTGTTGTATATAAACCTGTTACGTAACCGTGTCTGTGTTTATCTGTTTCTTTGGTTACTGTATATTTTATTTTAACCTTGAAATGTGCACACAAACGGATGACTGTTATCCCGATGTCACAGGGCAAGGGGGGTTCGCTACCCCCATCGTCCGTGCCATAATGTATTGGCCTGCCCTTGGGGTTTCAAGGTTTTTACTTCTACTGTCCAGTCGTTATCGATTTTTTTTACCCGCTAATCAAAAGGGATCTATCACATCTCCAATTGTGTCACATAGTGCTCTGCTGGATGCTTGAAAAAGCAGGTAGGTCAGGAATTAAACAAGACACTACATAAGCAGGTGAATGTTCAGCAGACTAATTTTAAGATCCTTATTAAATTCATTTTACTATATTTACCTTGGATAGTAAAATAGAGTACATTACAGCGCCATTCAATTTATTAATACTCATTTATTTCAGACAAAATAGATACAAACTTCTAAAATTAGTCCAAATCTTGGATATGAAGAAAATAGTAGAATTGACACAAGTACAAATTAAAACATCAGTGTAGCTTTGAATAACGCCATACGATTGAACTTTAGCCTTAAACGGGCTAGCAGCGCTAGTGGTGTTTGTATTAATGCATAGGTAATTAGTTTGGCTAATTTACATATTTCAATAATTTGGTAGGTTAATAGGTTGTGGTTATTGATGAATTTATAAAAAAATAAATAATTAGGCTGATCTGTTTGCAAGCACTAGTAGGCACATATGAATGATTAGTTGTCTAATTAGCATACTTTTAGGGCATGTCAGATTAATTTGGTGTAGTATTTAATACAGGTAGCAGGGAGTTATTGTTGTCTTGATAACCGGTGTGAATAAAGCTGGGTCTGTTAAATTTTGCATACTCTGTGGTATCTTGATTCTGTACATGCTGACTCCATCTGTTCAATACCCAGTACACTGCGGAAGCCAATGACTTTGTTGTTTCGACATTGCATATGACTGCTCTTGCTAGTTTGGAAGGAGATTGCTACACAATGCAGACTAATGATAATTAATTGGTAGCTGTATTTGTTTATCCTATTGAATGAGAATATATGTGTCATAAAGTGTAATTGGTATGTGGTATCGCGTGTACGCAAAGATATCATATGCGTACTCTAATTAGTGACGGAAGGTAAAACGTCTCCCTTAAACTGTATAAATTGAGAGGTGATTGTGTGATAGAACAATATATTTTGCTATAATCATGTCAATGCACATTCACAATCTCTTAACAAGCCGGTAGGCTGGTTGGCGATCCACTCCGCTCAAAAACAAGCAACATTTTTTGGCTGTTTCCATGGTGTGACATAAACGTGAAGCTAACGGCGGTTTATAACTAATACTAAGTTCGCAAACACCATTCAGTCTTTAGAAGTCACTTAGTTTATTACTAGGACCACAGTCGTGACTGTGCTAGGACGTATTCTGCTGTTACATTTATTATTTCCAACCGTTTTGGGATAGCATTTTCTAGAATGAAGCGTTTCCTGTAAATACTGGAACGCGCAATAACGAAATGGTAAATATTTACCTAAAGTACAGTGTGTTGACCTTTATAATAGTATACTTCATAATGCAAAACACTAGTCACAGTGAGTAATTTAAATATACGACTCCTAATCGAAAAATATGACCACAGTCCAGAATTTCAGACGGATATTAAGCAACCTAAGAGCATATCAGAAGCATTTACTCTAAAATATAAAAAAGAACTGCAGTCAAAAGTCAAGAATGCCAGCAAATAAAGGATTCTGTCCCACAATCCTTTGTGCGCGTTATTACGGACACGCGCAAAAAACTGTACCATGCTACAGTATGCTACTATCTTGCCACAGATTGTTTAGTAGTGGAGTGTTCGGTGACCATTGAATTAGCCCGTGATTCATATTTTATGTGTATTAATTTATTCATCAATTTTCGTGACTGACAGTACTGCCCAAATTTTAGTCAAAAAACGCAACTGGTGAAACGGAAGAGCATCGCCAGGCGATGGACGCAGGGCTCTTTAGCAACGACCGCAAAGAGGTCAAAATACGCGTTCTATTTTTACGCGTTAAATTTGGCTCTTCCATTTCGCCCCCCTCTGGAATGTTCTACTTTCGCTGCCTAATCGCAGGTTTTTCGAAAAACATCAAAAAAACACAAGAATTAGTAGAAATGTTCTTGTTTTGGGCGGATTATTGATAGAGAATAATGTCTTTATTACAAAAACGCTGAAAAACCGTGAGTTTTTGCCTTAGTTATTTTTTTATTGGCGAAAAATTGCGAACTCAGCAAATTTGGTTGCACAACTTCCCTTTATCATATACACCCAGCGACACCGATGCCAGCTGACTGTGTACAAAACTGGTAGGAGGTAATACATTTGGGGCGAAATTATTCAAAAATCAGTTTTTGGATGTTGCAATGGCAGTGGTGGGCCAGGATTGTTTTCCAATTATTGACGGTACGACCTACCTGTGAAGTATGAACAAAATCAGCCAAGCCGAGAAATTCACAGAGGAGTTAAAAGTCGTTGCTGGTGAAAAATTACCCCAACTTTGGGGTCAAATTTCTCGGTAATGAAAACAGATATCAAAAATTCAAATAGTAACTTTGTGCCCACATTCAAGCTGAGTAGAATGAGCTATGTCTGAAGTGTTTTATCCCAAATTTGTAGGAGGAGATACATTTGGTGCGAAGCTATCCAAAAATCAGTTTTTTGGCTGTTGCTATGGCAACGGTGGGCCAACAATTTTTTTCAGATTTTTCCTAATAACTAGGGTGAAGGTGTGACTACCTGCCAAGTTTGAACGAAATCGGCCAAGCCAAAAAAATCACAGAAGAAATCATACGTAAAAGCACTGGAAATGTACACACACAGACACACAAAACGACAAAAGTGATTATAAGGGCAATCCTAGCGGAGCGGATCGCCAATAAATCCTTCGGTGTTAATAGAAACGTTATTATCAATATCATGAAATACAAAACAGCGACCAATAACATTGCACTGCATTACTAATTATTACATTAGATTTGGAATTCCCATAATACCTTTACAGGCAGTTGTAAAATAACCGCCGAATAATTTTAAAAAACATACAAGAGAAGAGCTGAACATACAAAGTAGTTGAACATTCAAAGATAATATTTAACTTTCCAAAAACATTAAATACATCAATAGAACAATTCCGCATTTTTAAATTGTCTCATTCACCATAGATGCAAACATACTGTCCTTCGTCTTGAGTAAATTGTGTGGTGTATCCCATTCTATTATTTGACCGTCACTCAATACCATTACAAAGTCAGAATCAAGAATGGTGGATATACGATGCTAAGAAGAAATACATTTCAAATACATTATCGATTTGTTTAAAAAAACACAACTACACAATTTATATTAATAATAATATATATTACTTTCTACGTTTACTTACTGCAATGGTCAAAACCGTTTTGTCTGCGAATGCTGACGCGACAACTTTCTGCAAAATTACATCCTGTAAACAAAAACGGCAAGGTTATTCATCCCACAAAATTCATTTACATATTCATTTTTCGGACATCATTGAGTATTTGACACATTTCAGCTCTTTCCACTGCACAAACATTGATCTCAACGAGATTCGTCAATTAACGACTGTGACGACAGATAGAGATCACGTATGCATCAACAGCCATTGAGACTTTCATAAGACGAAATATCTTGATTAATTATAACAATACTAGCTCCCTGTAAAAACACATGTTATTTGGGGTAAACGATAATCAATCTTCGAACTCACTGTTTCAAAATCGATAGATGCTGTAGCTTCGTCCATAATCAGAATTGTGGGTTTTAGCAGAAACGCTCTAGCTAGGCAAAATAACTGTTTCTGCCCAGCGCTGAAATTGTCTCCATCTTCAGTGACAAGTGTACCTTAAATCAAAGTAATGCTACTGTTAATAAACAAGGTATCATATTTTTTTTTTTATTAATTTGATAATTGTTGGTGTATATGTCACTTACAAATACAAACTTTACAATAAAGGCCACCATTTACCTAATTTGTTGTCCATTGCAATAACACGATCTTTCAACTGCGCTACCTCGAGGGCATCCCATAATTCGTTATCTGTGTATATATTTTCAGGATCTAAATTAAACCTGCAATTGAAGAAAATACCTAGATTTTTTACCTATGTTAACCACACTGACACTTTTTTGCTACTCTCGCTAGTTTGTCAAAATGCGGTCACGTGACATTCATTCATGATATTCATATCTATGCAATGGTATCCTGGTTACCTGTCAATATAACATACTAATATAAGGGAGAAGATATCTTTCAAACTATAACACTTATTAGGGCTGATTACTTCTTTCCCCACTGTTCTTTATGATTGAGGGAGTTTTGTGTATCGCTTCAACAAGCTGTTGAAGGTAGCTGTAGTGATTTTCAAATGGTAAAATACTGCTTTTAAATTAATAAATGTATTATGCTATGTATTTGATGTATTCTTGACAGTGATTATTATGGTCTAAAATCTTACCGAATAGTACCACAGAAAATAACAGGGTCCTGTGGAATAATAGCTATTCTTCGCCGAAGTGTCAACAAAGGAACTTTCGATATATCGATGTCATCGATGGTAATTTGACCTGCAAGTTAAAACATAGCACAACATGACTAAACTTCTGTAATGGTTACGACAGATTATTGTACACATACAACATTGATTGTTTTAGAGGCAATGAGTTCCTGCTTAGGTTTGGATTAAATTCCGTGAGAGAATATTTCAAATTATTTGTATTTGTTATCATACATGTACATTGAATATATTACCTCCAACGACATCTATCATCCTCAGTAATGTAAGAGTGAGCGACGATTTACCACTTCCAGTCCGACCACAAATCCCAATCTTTGATGAAAAGAAAGATATTTTTATTTTATTGCTGGTGATTTATTTAACAAAGCTTATAGTGCTTAAATTCAAAGAAGTAACATATGTCAACGTTAATATACAGGCAGCTGTACTACATATCAAATATCTATCAAACATATAAATGAATCGACCATTCACCTTCTCACCAGCATTAACATGAATGTTTATATTAGTTAGAGCTGGTTCTAACTCGTCTGCATACCGCACTGTGACATTATATAAGTCAATAGACCCTTTATCTGGCCAGCTATCGGGCACGTCAATACTGCCTACATGTATAAAACAATAATAATCGTCAAACAATTTGTAATAAAGAGATATGACACATTTGAAGCTAATGCAAGGATAAAAGGTCGACGAAAATATAATTTTAGAATGAACAGAAGTTACGTGATTGCGTAAATAAATCTAGGTAGTACCCCATTGATGTTTTTTACATTACCGCTTTGTATGTAAGCTCGAGTGGTTGAGACAAATGGCGAAACGAACTAGTCATATTGAAGTAAATTATACATGTAGTTTACAAAAAAGCATTGGTTTGATTTTTGTTCCTGATATCGACCAAGCTGGTGTTTATTGTGTCGCCCCGGCATTGTGAGCTAAAGTTGCATGGAGACTAAGTGTGTGAAAGTACACAGAGTACACAAACTATGCATATTGAGAATATACTTTTTAAAACCAATTACCTTGAAGTTCTTCAGTATCTAGTTTGGTATATTCAATAACGCGTTCAACACCGCTGACATAGCAAAATAAATCTACTATAACTGTCATCAAGCCATTTACAAACTGTGCTGCCTGTAAATAATACAGACTCGTTAATTATATGATGTTTTTATGACCATTGATTGATTCTATTTGATTGACTGCTTGATTGACAGATTCACTGATTGATTGATTCAATCATTCATTCTTTCAATAACATGTTTATTGACATAATGTTATGTTATTCGTATCGCAATATATAAATCATTAATAATATAGGTCGGCTCACTTACTAATATTCCTGTTGTGACAGCCAATCCAACATCACTTGGGTTAATAGTCCTATACATTGATGCAATCAATGCCCCAACACCAACAAATAAAACCAAACACATGCCAATCGTATTCTACGAGCAAAAAACGTGTGAGAAGTTCATGTATACCTCTATAATAAATATAGGGAATCAGAGCTATGTATACTTGCAATATCGACCAGTTATGCGCTATGAAATTAATCCTGATATTATGTCCGAATCGGTACAACTACTTACTATTCTGAATGAAGCCCATTGTATTGATGTGGCATAATATAATTGGCATACAATGTTCGCATCTATTCTGTCCAACATGTGTGTCACGAACCGTTGCTCTGCTCTATATAAGACAAATACGGAAGATTTATTTGGAGAACATGACAGATTAAGTGTACACGTAACACTATAAAGCCATTACGTATATTGTGTGAGTTCACACTTATTAGTAGCAAGTTTACATACAGTGTATACGTTCAAACCAATATATGATTCATGTTATAGCAATTAAACATTCAATAATACAGTGTTACCTTACCCAAAAGCTCTAATTGTGGATGAACCTACATAAGTGTCCGTAAAATATGCCAAAACTGGTGATAATGTCACTCTATCCAGTCGTTTAAGATCTCTACAATGTGAAAACAGTGCATATTAATGACATGATTATACTTATCGACTACAAATTCAAAGTTAGTCAAGTTAAGACAGGCACAGTCCGCCAAATTGACCAAAATCAATCATTTACTATACAATACGTAATTACTTGATTATGGTCTGCTTTGTGTCAGGAATTAGCCATTTGAGTATCAATATAGTATCAATACACTACACTACACTAATCAAACTGTTTCTTATTACCTTGGTAGTCTGACACCAAAGTCGAGGCTCACACCAATTATTACAGATATAGGGACCATGACCAGTAGGAAATATGGTGAAATGATGGTGTTTACAACAATTGTACCAAACAGCGATATGAGAATAATTAAAACTAAACTAAGAGTCATCCAGAAATGCTGAAAAAGGGGGAGTTAGAAATAATTAGTTTAAAGAAAATTACAAGCATATGGTAGACGTGGTTTAAAGTTGAATGCACATTCACAGCAAAAGCGTATAAACAAAACCCTACATGAATAATATATTATTTTGGAAGCAAGTTAGTCAGTAGACTCATTTCAAATTGTTTTTTCGAACTGTAGACTGGGTGATGGGAGAGAAGGAGAGAATGTAAAACTATTAGGGAATCAAAACAAGTTTCGTCGACTGCTCGCTCTCAGCAGCGGCCATAACAAAGCACTAAATAGAACAATATTATGCTTACCACATCGACTGAAAGCATGTCAACGGAAAATCTATTTAGAATCCGACCAACTGGAGTTGTTTCAAAAAATCGGATTGGAGAATGCATGACTTTATATAATATTTTCCTGAAAAGCTTCTTTGCTGTCATTATGAAGAACGCAATAAAGCAGACATTGAATAGAATAGCCACTGGGATCACAAGACTAGTGAATATAGCATATCTTGGAAGGTAGTACCTGACTGTCAACTCTTGTTCAATCTGTAAATAATATGAATTGTGGAATTACTATAAATTTATTTGGAAGCATGGTGGATACTGACCATCATACATGAGAATAAACTTTTAAAGTCGCAGTATGAGAGCACATTTCTGTAGAAGTCAGAATATTTAATAGACAATGCAATGTAATTTTCACACTCATAAATTCGATTACAATAAGACACAAAAACCTCACAATTTGGCTTTTTCTCTTTCATTTTACAAAAATATATGTGTTTTCTTACAAGCAAACAAATAATTCACCAGTAATGTTTCATTTGCATCGGAAATTATCATGCACAATCTACTTGGTGGTAACTGCTTTTCGAGTGAATCGGCCCACTAAAAAAGAATATTATATAATACTGCCGGAATATGGCGTTTGTGCCCGAGCGCAGGTTTTCATTTGCCCGACGTTAAGTCTCTGCGCGAGGGCACTAACGCCTATATTCGGGCTGTAATGTTTTTATTACATGCCTTTAATAACATAAAGAATACAGGCTTTATATGTTAATGTTTAAAGCTAATTCTTGTTGCTAAATAGGTAAATTTTTCATAAGCAGTAACAAAGTTTTGCATGCAATCGCGTTAATCGATAAGTTTGGCACTGCGGATGGATATGTTTACGCATCCTGTTAACCGGCTCCCTTAAAAACCTGCAGACGATAATGGCTGCAGCAGACGAAATGGATATTATGCAGTGGCTACGGTCAATAGGACAGGGCGAATTTGATGAAATGCTAGGACCAGCACCAGGAAATGAAGTACCAGGCGAACGTGATGTCCGTCGCTGTACCGAGTGGCTAACTCAGAATACCGGAGAATTGCGGCGGCTCGAAGAATACAACCGGTCGAATTGAATGAGCTTCTGGGACAATTTTTCATCAGCATAAAGAAGGACTAAGACGAATATGAGCCAGCTTCCCTCGCCAACATGAAGTGTAGTTTTGAGCGCTAACTTTGCGATAAGAAATACTCTACAAATGTAAATGATCGAGTTAAATCATGCTATAGGAGCAAAATAAGTCGATCTCAAAGGTAAAGGAAAGGGTAGAAAAGAGCACAGATCGGAAGAAATCTCAACTGAGTAATATGTATTACATGCATTGTTGTAAAATTGCATTTGTGTGTGGTTGCAAACTTATATTAAATATTAACATTATCATGATTGTCCATTTTATTTTTTATAAATTTTCTCCAAGAAAACGAAAGTAGTTCAGGGAAAATAAGTGTTCATAACTATCCGGTTGTTCATGACAATGTGTACATAATGAAGTCTGTCTGTTGTCATTTTCATCATAATTTTGCCCCATTCAATAGCAACCTAGTTTAACTCCAGTTTTCTTCCACTTACCGGTGAGGCAAACGACCTGTCACAAAGCTCTTTTTATGCATCCCCATGATTTTAAAGTATAGCAAATCCAGATTTTCTGCGATAGCAGATACAAGACCCAATCATTTCAATTTATGTATATTGTGCCAAGGAATCACTCCCCTTTCATTAATTAGATGCGACACTTTTAGGTTCAATATATTTTGAGCTAAATCTTCCATAAACACTGATTTACCCCCACAAGTTATTCCAAATAATTTGATCTATTTCTTATACTTTCATTTCCTCCGCCCAAATTTCTAGTTCTTCTGTGACAAAATCACTGAGTCGCACCAGTTATCGTTTAGTTTGATAGTTACATTAACCCCCCCCCCCTCTCAAAGGCTTCTGCTGCTCATCAACACAAATCTTTTATGGCTGTTCAAAATCCGGATCAATGTATCTTTTATTCACTTTTGCTGTTTTTTCATTATATAAATATTTAGGCATAGCCAAACCACCTCCCCCTCCATCACAGTACCCCGGTAATTTTATCTTTATCTTCCATAAATATTCTTACATTATTTTATGAATTTCCTGAATTGTCTGTTTTTGTATAATATTGAATTGTGATATTCCAAAAGTTTTTCAGAATATTTCAAACTTTGTGAAATCATTAATACATGAACATTTTTTGTCAAATTACAATGTTACCACATCTGGAGATGATATTTAAAATAAATTAGTGGTCCCTTAATTGATTTGGTGTAAGAGATCAATTAGATGTTGTTTTTTCTACGTACTTCACTCTTATTAAGACTGTCCTGACCAGCTTGTGACCAAGCAGATATCCACAGGTTTACGGCAGCAAAACATGCGATTTCTAGAAGATACGCAATGAAGAGGATGACCGCAAGCGGTACTGTCATAGCCCTGACATATGCCAAGAAAATGGCACATCCTACAGCTCCTTTGGGTCTCTCCTCTTTGGCAATAATAGAAGCTTGAACAAAAATAGAATGTAAAAATTATACATGTATATGTATAATGCAATGTTTATATCGGTATACGTCGTCTGCTTCATGTAAACTTCACAAATTGACATAGCAAGAAATGTTAAGGAACGTACCAATAAATAACATATTACGATTCTACATTATTCACTGACTGTTACTGATCAATAAGCTATACTTAAAGGGGAGCAGAGGTGTGGCTTTTGACACTCTGTACATGAAATTTGAGATCTATGAATGAATTCTGTCGATAAAAACAACTTGTATGTGCTGCGAAATGCCCTAAATATCGGGTATAAAACGGGCTGTGAAGCAGACGACAAACTTCCGCTTTTCCTGGTGTCATTTCGCCTCTAGAGGGCCAGTCAAATGACGTCATCAGTGAACACTGATAATTGAACCCATTCATGCTAGTACGCCAATCCCATAGAAATGCTATTATGAAAGACCTTGTTAACTGACTACTTAAAAGTTGAAACATGGCGAAATGTTGTGCGTATGAATGCCATAACGATTCATGTTAAGTTTCTCGAAATCCCAAATAAAAAATCACGTTGTTGGTTGCGAGAAAACGGCAGAAGAACTAACCTGAAATGAAGACACGTACAGCGCTCTGG